ATTTCCTTCAATTTCTTCTCAGACTGTTCATCGTAATCATTTTCGTACATTCTGTTAATAAACTTCTGTTGTTGTTCCAGAAGTACGAAATCTATGGGAAATTATGGGGGAATCCTTCCTACATTGTAGATACATCGTGAATACATGCAGGAGTACATTCTAGCGTTATAAACTGGCGTGTAACGAGAGTTGATTCCTCCGACGGCAGCTGTCACGTGTAGTTCGCTGGCAAATGTCAGTTTCTGAGATAAACAAAAGGGAAATGACGCGATTGCGTCGGACAGTTGCATGCGTCGCGCGCATCGATAATATTCCTTGTAGCCATGGAAACGTCGCCGTGAGTGAGACTATTCCGGATTCGCATGCAAAACAGGCATGCCCGATAAACACCGACGTACAAAGGAAGCGTAAAATACTTCTTGGGAAACGCGTACTAACGAAATAATAGAGTTGGGAAAGTTTCTAAAAGTAACTCGTTCTCGTTATCGTCACTTAAAAAAAAAAAACGATTCATTACTTTTTCTGTTACTTTTTTAATATTAAAACGAAATTAGATAATTAAATAAAAAAATAATTTTTCTCATTTTTTTTGTTAAATTATTGATATAAAAATAATAAAATTTTTTTTATTTCAAATTCGCAAGACCACAAAAGTTTAAGAAGATTTTAAAATATTCAAATAAAAATAAACAAGATCGTGGTTTTTATTAAATTTATAAATATAATTTATAAATATAAATTTATAAATATAAATTTAAACCTTTTTCCATCTTCATTTCTCTGTTTGTTGTTAATTTTTAAAAAGTAAGTAGTTATAAAATCTGTTCTGATCTGTTCTTATCTGTTCTAATTGCTTTATAATAAATTATTCTTTCTTAAACGATTCTTAAACATAACAATGAACTATACACATCGATCGAGGACTGATCATTGAATACAAAATAAATAAATTTAAAATATAAAATGTAATGATAAAAGTAACTATGAAATTCGTTATCGTTACTAAAAAAATGCAACTACGTTACAATTATCAAGAAGAAATTAATCCTATTATCAATCCCTTACAAAAAAAAAAAAAAAAGATAATGCTACCGATAACGGCGTTATTTCTCTACAATCTTGCAAAATAAATTTAGAGACTGACAAAAAAGAGATATAAAGTCAACTGACGTCGACTTTTTAGTATTAAAAGTACACGATTCTTTGTAAAACCTGTCGATTATGGAGCTCCGTATTGGAGCTGCTTGATTATGCCCGGGCTGAAAGGAATAACCTCCCATAGATCAACGAGTTGACTCGCGTGGTTAAGCTGAGCACTCGAGATCCCGCGGCGAATTCCCCGTGGATGCGCCGGTGCGGCGATTAACCATCGGGCTAATGCCAAATGCCCGCATATAACGCCGGACGTGAGGATAATACCGGATGCACACCGTGCGGCGAAGCGGTCGATCGGATGGCCAGCCGTAAATAAATGGATAACGATAGCTCTCGTATCTCCACGGCGCGACCGCGAGCAGACGCTCCTGGATCGCGCGCGTTTACGCATAACGGATCGGACGGCTAATGTAATTTCGAAGTGGAGGAGAAGCGGTCGAAGAGCGATATCGGATCATGGGGGAGCCATATGCGCGCGGTCACGGAAGACAGGGATTGTATTTTCGTCATCTTTACGCGTCGTCTCGTCGCGCGAGCACCGGATGAGATCCTAGGGGGAGAGTACGTAAAAAAAAAAAAAATAAATAAAATAGAGCGAACCATAACAATGTTTTATGTTTGTTATGGTTATGGAAAACTAACAGGAGAAGAGTAATTAACGTGATAAATTCGGAAACGAGTAAATCAAGGAAGAACGTTAATATCGTCGAAATTCGCTCTTAATTATTATAATTAATTTCCATTAATTTAATTAATAGAATGCTCTCCGTCCCGCGGAGCTTTAATGGAATTGTTTTCGTTAATTTGCGTAAAGTGATCTAAATTGGTTGCACTTAATTCCCAAACTTAACGTCTATCAGTGGCCCACATTGCAGGGTGAAACGGGGATGGTTTTTATAACTTTAAGATAGTTTCACGAGGCGGGATGATATGTTATCTGAAATTATGTGGGGGAAGGATCTCGTCATGCTTTACTGTAAAGATTTTATATGCGCGAGGCTTTTTTATTTCATCTTTTTACTTTCGAATCCAGTCGCTGGTGTTGCTTTTGCGTGTGCTCTCCCGCTGGTGCATCGTGCAAGCTATCGAAATCGAATTAACGTTCCCTTTACGTCCGCACAAGGACACTTCAGACCGGCAGTACCAATCCAAATTGTTACGCTACGGCTCAAAGGATTGTTTCGGGCCCTTGAGCAGGGCCCGCCGACGATATCCTCTGTAACTCGAATCATCGGCACGGAAACGACGTCTCACTAATATATGTTAACTTTCGGGAAATCCAGTTGCCAATATCGCTTGCTAAACTCTTCGGATCATTGGTTAATTCGACGTTTCCGATTAGTCACGCAACGACGTTGATCGAAATGAAGTTCTATGTTGCGAGCATGTCACGACATACATTACATTTTTCAAGAATTCTTATTGTTTACGAATGTAAAATACAGCGATAGAAAGCCATTAAGAAAGCATTAAATTCACGATTCCCTAAATAACTTTTTCGTGAAGCTGCACAATTTTTTTTATATCGTGACAGTTTCAACTACAACCGATTTTACTTTACTTTACTTTTTATTACTTTTAGAAATTTTTTCATAAAAATTTTCACAAAAATATTTGTACCATATAAAAAATAAAATTTTATCTGCGTTTAAGTTTTACATGACATGAGAAATGCTTCTATATTTATGATTTTTATAACCGATTTCGAGACGTTGATTTTCGCACTCTCGTAGAGAAAATGGATGGGAAATTTCTAGCTGCGAAAGTTCCGCATAAAAAAAAATGGCATTTACGCGATTCTCAATTCCTGGCACTTATTATCGATTTCACTAGCGATACCGTCGACGTAGCCCAGCAATCTTGTGAACGGCGAAAGTATCAACTATGTTACAATTATTTCCGGCTGTTTACTTCCGCGCCGCGTGGTCAACGCAAGCAATTACACCGTGCAAAATTCAGCCTCGGTTGCTCCAATTTGCACTGCAGCGAAAGGAGGCTGTTACATACAGAACGAATACCCGTTCCAATTCGAAATATCCGGTATTTCCGTTTTAAGTGCTTTCCATATTATTTTCTCTTACAGATATGAATTAAATGGTAAATCGGCGAACAGCACTTCAGGGATTTTGTTTTTCTGGGATATTGATTCTTTTACCTTTATTAAGAAAATATTGACTTCGAGCGAAAATGAAGGATCAATCAAATTAAATAAATGGAGATGAGTTATTTTCAATTGACAATTTGCCACCTCGATAAATTCAATACGAGTTTCTTTATGTAACACGTCATTTTTAACGCACATTTTGTACGGTATAATTAAAAAAGAAATTTTCTACTATTTACATTTTCATCTCAATTTCCACAAGTTTCAAACGAAAGTAATCAGATAATTATTTATGGCTTATTATACCGTTTTACCACGCGTTCACGCAACGTCCATTATATATGTTGTTCTGTAATACCGCTTAACGTTTATTAACGTTTAATAACGTTTACAGCTTGGCCCGATGTTCAACGTTATCTGATAGCCCTGCGCTGCGGCCAACTAACTTTTTAATGGATAATGAACCTGTTATCGTATCCCCCGTCCGCCGGATATTTAAATTTGTTGGCTAATTACACGGACTTTATTTTTCGCTCGGTTATTACCGTGATTTCGGTATCGCAAATGACGTTGTTTCCCCATAGAGAGTTGATTCAGCCAATTTCGGGACGCGTATCTCTTTACACAGCTATTTTATAATACGGTTAGTATATATACGACAGATAAATATGTACTTAGCAGTGTACACTGAAGCTAAAACAGCAACAAACAATTTGCTGGACTGCAACTGACGGCTAAGTAACACAAATAATTTTTCAACTGGCCAGCGTTTAAAGCGCTTTCTAAAAATATGTTATAAAATATGTATACCGTGTCATATATTTCATGGAAAAGACGTAATATTTAAAGGTAAAATGATTGTAAAATTTACAGATATATGAATTTTACAGATATATTAAATAGTACGTTTCAAATATATAAATTTTTATAAATAATATATTTCATTGCTTAATCCTTTTAGAATTTATCTCGTAATTTCTTCATATCAAAAAAAGGAAAGACATATATGTATACATAAATGTGTATATTTTTTTTTAAAGATGGCCAAAAGCGAGGATCGTTTGTCTGAAGGCGATCGCCACGAGGTGTCTATTATTTGAACTCGTTCGAATGAAATTTCGATCGCCTGCCCGAGCCTTTGTCCCGAAGGATCTCGTGCTGGCTTTCAGGAATTTATCGATATAATCATGACGGTCGACAAGAAAATCATTACACCGGCCGATATTAAAAAAAAAAATCGCATGAGCTTTCGCCAAGCGTATTCACGTCGAGGCATTAAATAAATGCTTGCTCATGTAAAATGCTCGGCCTTCAATTATCGGATTGCGCTGAGTACACAAAATATCCCGGCATCAATGGCTTTCCTTTTAACGACGGAAACTAAGCCTCATATAAATTTTCAAACTCGTCAACGTAAAAAGCGAAGTTTGGAAAAAATAAATACTATCTTTTTTGGAATCGCTGCAAGTAACGCGCAATTGATTCACACACTATTTGCTATCATCGGAACAAATCTGATGCTAATTATTTTTTAATACAGTCTGCGCAATGTTGTTTGAAAACATATATATATATATGTGTATGTGTATATATGCATGTATGTATGTATATTGTATGTATGTATGTATATGTATATGTATGTAGCTGCAGCGAAAATGTTATTCGTATCGTGATGCAGCCACGTTTCGCAAATACGCGAGTCATCGTCATATTATCGACCATCATCCGACTTGGTACTTACAGTGCACTTTCAGCTTCCATCGGTCCTCGATACCGGCTTCCGGCAGCTTCGGATTCTCGGCACGACACACCAGGAACTTCCCCTCGTCCTCCACCGTCGGCGTGAATTGCAGACTCACGCCGTCCTGCAATTGCGAATAACAGTCATTCGTCTTGGCTGCTCGCTCGGGATACTGATTTATCAGAAGTTAGTACGAAGCTCGCTTCGCACCTATTAAGCTGATCGAAATTTTCAATAATTCTTTTTGCGATCATTTTTTTCGATTTTAATCGTTATTAATATCGGGGCATAAATTCTGATATATCTTGAGCATTAAAAGTTAAAGCATAATGTGAAGAAATATAAATGTATAGTATAGTTATATTTCATGTTTATTAATATTAATAATTCACGCAAAATAGATTATAGATAAACAAATAATTTCCACTCTAGCGGATTATTACGTTCGATCATCGATGCGTGAAATAAATGTAATTTATAATTTATAATGTCAAATTGTCGCCGTGATCTCATTACTCTATCACGTTGTTTCACGCTCGCTCCACATTAGAAAAGAGTCGTTCGTTTTTGCTTGTATTAATCTCATTATGCAATCGGGACGAATCGTAGCGCAAAAAGCGCGAGAATAAACGATTTCATAACATTCCTGTGTCGTTTTTCAATCTTTCCTGCCCTCCCCCCCTCTCCTTCACGACGGAAAATTGCGGTCAGGCCGCATTTTTTGTTTTATCTTCTCACATAACTAGCAGCTCGCGCTGTTTACGAGACTTTAAACACGGCGCCGAACAGCCCAGCAAAGCGTACGTTTTATCGTAACAGCGAGATCGTACATTTTTCAAATGCGAACAATGGACGCGTGAAATGTTAAAATAAATACGTGCGTTTTCGTTTCCAGAAATGTGACTGTATTTGCCCTCGCGCGTGTTCGCGTTCGCGTAAACCCGGAGCCGAAAAATTATGGAATATAATGCCGCTTTAGTGTTATTATTTTCGAAGCTTACTGTTCAGCTTACACGAATTATATTCGAGGTCACCGCGTGCATCATCCGCGAATTTTTTTCCCGCGCGGCTCTCCCGGATTTTATTACGATCCTTTTATCATTTGTTGCCACATGGCTCCTTCGGGAATGCCCTTCCTCGAGAGCTCGTGAAATCGATAGGCGTGGATGCCTTCGTCGATTAGGAAACGACGATCGAAAGATAAGCGCGAATGCATAGAGAAATGCGAACTTGACATGGTGATTTTTCGTCGCGATAAATTGATTTAATTGCAAATTGCGAAACTGTACCGAATTCGGTGACTAAACGCGATCGTTCCGAGTATTAATTCCCATCCCATAAAATTTCCATGACATTCGCTGCCCGCTCGTAATGCTTTCTTATTTCGCACGGATTTTATTTTCGAGGAAAGAGAGACGAGGTCGCGAATACCCAATTTTTCCCATCGAGAAAAATCGACTGCGTCATCGCATTAATGACGCTCCATCGGTTTCGCTTTTCCGATGAAATTTTCACTCTCATCGCGTAGGAAAAGAAACGCGTCCCTCCAACCCATTTTATTTCTCAATTTACACGTCACAACCGTGTTAAACCGAGTTTTTACAAGCCGTGTAAATTATTTATCAATGACATTGTTAAAGCGCACGTCCTCGTTATTATTTGTTGATATCACGTCATAATGCGAAAGGAATTTCGTAATTAATCTTATACCATGTACATTAATCTTATACAATTACATTATGTGCAGTTTCATAAAATAGGATGCGATATACGATATTTAAATTAGACAACCATTCCCTTGTATATTATTGTAATTTAAATATATTCTAAATCGCAATATCAATTCTAACAAATACGAATATAATGTTTTTTGTGATGGAAATTCTTTATTTGTAACCTTTTAGTACTTTAAAGTTTTTTATGAATAGTTTGTGTACATGTGCGTTGTAAAAATGTTTTCTACGTATTCTACTTTTTAATCTTTATCAAAGCTTTAATAAAAAGTGCAGTTTTATAGTTATGACTAGTGAAAATGAAACTACTGTTCCATTTACAAAATCTTTCAATTCCGAGCGGAATATGTGCCGGCTAATTGCTACAATTTTGTCGCGGAAAGGGAATAATGAGAGCGCGGGACAAGTCGCGGGGTATCAACTCCGCTCTTTCCGCAATGCCGCATTTCAATTTCAAATATTGTATAGACGTACGCTCAACGGAAATGCAAACGGCCGGCACGAATGAAAAAGAAGATACATATACGTCGGGATATCCCGAGGAAGCCTCCGAACGCGCCCTCGAGAACGAGCTCCTTCGCAGAATTTATGGCGACGCCGCCCAAAATTTCGGTGCCGTTATTCATGTAGATTCGCGAGCGGAAAATATGCGCGGATGCGGACCATGTGTGCGATTTTCTGGATACGCTGTATGCGCGCATCCCTCGTTGCACAGGCCCCTGCATGTCAAATTCCAACCAATCCTCTCGGTATTTTCCGTTTTCGTGCGTTCTTTTCCTCGCTTCCCTCTTCGCCTTTCTTTCTGTTTCGCGCGCGAGTTGGTCAAAAACAATAGCGGAAGAATGAACGCGCTGAGGATGGATGGATGGATGGACAAAAAAAAACAAAGACTCACGGCAGGGTAAAATTAAAATCAAATCTCTCCGACAGGCAGACGCTTGGCTGGTTGGTCTCGATTGTGTACCGACCATGTTGCCGGAATTCCAAAAAACTTCGACCCGAGTTTACCGGCGAAAATTCCGACGATGTCTTAGCCGGCAGTGCGGCATTTTCGAAATTCCACCTCGCATGGTCGAATTACGCTGCTGCGCATCCCATGTAAGATCCCATGTTTAATTAAGAACAGCTAGGAATCAGGTTGGCCAATTGCGTAAATAACGCGAAATATAATATGTAAATATAATAATTGATAAAAATAATTTTGAAAGTCAACGTCGTAATCAAGTTCAAAATAAAATATTACATTTAAATATTTACATTATTTGCATTATTTTTTTATTATTAACTTGTTTCTATCTAGCTTTTTCCTACTCGTGTCAGATATTGATAGCGCCATATCCACATAAATTCGCACAGGCACTCCTGAATGTAGTAGGCTAATTCATTAATTCTATTAGAATCGATATCCTTTGTCTCTCGGAGAACGAGCCTGAATTTTGACAGAATACCCCGACCATTTGCAGAACGTAATTGTACGTTACGTTGTAGGTAAGACGCAATTTGCGTAGCGCATTCCACCCCTTTGTGCAATGCAACTGTTACGATCTCTGTGAAAGGACCGGGATTAACTTCTTCTTACCTTCCTGATGGAGACATGGATGACAGAGGAAGGACTATAGAGACAAAGAGAGAGCCCTTCCATCTTTCCACGTACACACACACATACACACACACACACACACACACACACACACACACACACACCACCCACCCCCCACACACACACACACATACACATACAGCACACAGACGTTGTGTACAGACAAAACCGCAGCACGGATCCGCTCGCCCGGAAACTCGCCCGTGTCTTCAGTTACTCGGGATATTCGCCCCCGAGCAAGAAAGGTTTCCACAAGGCTTTACGTCGCACATGTTAAATACATTTGTGCGGTATCACGCGGTTAACGATGTTCCACCGTCATGGAGTCATTCCCTAGTTAGTCCGAAAGAGAATAAAATAATTCTGCTGTGAATCGCATCATAAATTTCTGCATAAATAAAACTGCGTTCATATATCGACAAAAAAAAAAAACTTACTCACATCATTAAATAAAAGGATAATAAAAAAATGTATTAATTAGAATTGACTTAGAAGTTCTAACATGAGTGTCTGTCGTTTGTTTTGCGTTTTCGGAAATCTTTCAGGACGATATCTCTTCCCCTTTTGCGAGAATAGAGAGCGACGGAGAGATTTTGTGATTACATTCTCGTATTTCCTATCTTAATGTAATATGAAGGAATGCGCGTTCTATACGTAAGGTGAACGTTTGTCGCGTCGTCTTATTCGCAGGAGGGCTCCCAAGAGAGACGAAATAAATCCGCGTCGTTTCTTCACGTTGTACTCTTTCTTCTTCGTTTCCATCTACTGCGCTAAAAGCGGACGAGCTCGACGTAGGCGAGAGCACGTGTGCGCATCAACGAGTCTCGGCTCTCCTTCTTCCGAGGCAATAGCGGTAATATCCTTTGGGCTGGATCAGACTTGCGACGAGATAGATAGTCGCTGGCATCGAAAGCCTTTCACGTTATTGCTGTCACAAGCAGCCGCAAATGTTGAAGCAACGTCGATGCGGCGAATACAGCTTAGTGCCACCCGTGGTGGACTCGATAAAATTTAGTGTCGCCGTTGTCGTCAATGGAGAAGAGTTGCCTTGGATAGAGTAGAATTTTTAAAGCACAGCAAGAAGTAGCTCACGTACGTTTCGCTGGAACGCTTTAATTGTTCCTACCTTGCTACCTGACGATCGAATTACGCTAGTTTACAAAAAATATTTTTTTTCAATTATTTTCAACCAAAGAGTGCTTTTTATAGATTTTTGGATACTGAGGACCTGATGCCCAGCACGTCAGATTTCCAAAATAATTGAAGTTTAATAATGCAAAAAAAAATAATTTTTTATAATATTTATAATATTTTAATATTTATAATATTTATAATATTTATAATATTTATAAAGATCTTTTTGTTATATTAGGAGAAAGGTTAACGACATCTTGAATCATGAATAGTGTATCGTTCATTCTTTATAAAAAGCAGTTTTTTTTATTTTAACTTCTTATTTTTTAATTATGTAATGAAAAATTTTGATACGAAATTTTGCTAAGATAAGACAGACTTTTACTATACTAATAACAAACTAGTGCTGATATAAAATTGCGAAAGATCAAATGGATTTTTTTTATAACTTTACATAAGTGCATTCGGTGTATAAATATGTCTGCCGAACGAGTATTCTTGGAATGTCTTTGAATCTAAATAGCGAAAAAGAAAGGCTTCTGGCTTCTTTCATATAAATGTCATTTGATTCAAACTGCTGTCACGTAACATAACTCGTTTCCGCAACACCGTTCAAGTATTCGCAATTAGATACGCCTGCCGGAAACTTTTAGCAGA